AGAATGTGTGTTTTTTGACCGATAGAAGATAGAAGGTGTGCTTTTTGTAAAAAGAAATCGAATTTTATTTATTCTAAGTATGACGTAGGTTTACATCCGAAATATTGTTTTATAACGTATCATACCAAATAATATATTTTATTAGTATTATTGCTATTGTTATGTTTTAGTTCTTATGCATAGCGTCCCTTAAAGGGGACCTAGTTTTTTTTCAAAAATATGAATGTGTCTTATTTTTAAACGTTTTCTTAGTGTTATTTACCTCTCAAAGAATATATATTTCCTAAAGAATTGATGGTGTTGGCTTTATTTTTAACCTCATGCACTAATGGGTTAAAGAAATTTGTAAAATTGCGTTACAGAATACCGGACGCGCCCGGTCGAGGGTTAAAATAGATTTGTGTGTCTGGAAACTTCTATTCTTTTTTAATTTTACTTTAATTGGCGTTAATTGTTGTTAAGTTTTACGTCAATTTCTAGCAAATGATGTCTAGAGATTTACCTGGCCAAAATTATCATCGACTCTCATTCCCAACCGTCTTTGACGCATTTTTTTTCGATCATACGGTACTAATATTCAGTATAAGTACAACTTTTTATTGTTACGACGTTTAGGGTAGTGATTTCCGGTTATCAAATTGAAACTAAAACAAGATATCTTAAGATAGACTACTTTTATAGCCACTTTCGTTAAAATAAGCCATTCATTCGTGAGATTATACCGCAAGGACTCGCTAAAAATGTTACCGTTATTTTGAATTTTGAATAAAAGCAATATCTTCAAATTTTCGTTTCTTCCAATACTGAAGACCAGTGTTTCGCAACGTGTGAGGTCGCCAAAAAGGGTCGAGCTTTATATAAGTTTAGGAAACACTGCTGTAGACAAATCTACCCTTTAATCAATGCATGTAGTGATTTAACCAAAAGTATTTCGGATGTCTGATTTTGAGATTCCTATTCATAAAAATCATTCACCCGAGTGATCACAATCACGAAACAGTTTTGTTCATTGTTAAGTAACCATAACTTAAGTATAAATAGCGGATATTTAGTTTTAGCTTCTACTTGAAATGGTGTGTCATATAAACGTCGTAGTTCAATAGTTCAGCAAAAAAAAGACAATGGAACTTTGACAGAACAGTTTTATATCAAATGAAACAATGTCTAACACCTTTAAACAAATGATTTGTTTACGTACGTTGGAGGGGCAGAAAGGTTGCTTCATATTCGTCAAATTTGCTTAAATACATTCAATTTATAATGAGCTTGTACTAAGTAGGTATATAACCCACGCGTATATAATTTTAAATGAAATAATAAGTAACCCACAGTTGCGAAAAAGCTCCATATGGGGGATTTGAACTTTCTATTAATAGCAGACTATAGACAACTACACTTAGAGTTTTTTTTATAATAAGTCATTGTCATGGTCATTTATAACATGTCCAGAGTGGTTTTTAAAATACGATTAAACTACGACGAACTTTTAAAGCCGAAGATTAAGGTTCACTTAAATCTCTCTCAAGAATTATTGATGTTTTTTAATTGGAAATTCAGCGTGAAAATTTATAGATATACTATAAAACATCCAATTGAGATGTGTTGCTAGTTTTTTTTATATTTGAAAAATGTAACAAAAGTATTCATTTATATAAAAACATCTTTTTGTTATATCATTTTATACCACGGAAAGTTCCCTAGTTGGTTAAAGCATTTTTGAATATCAGCAACATTTCTCCCTCTTGATTACATTTATAAGATTAGATTTATTGACCAAACTACTATAATATCGACCTTAACGAAGCTTCCCAATTTTGATTCCGCAAGTTAGAAGTGCGATAAAATAGTTAGTTACGTATTATTATTGTTACTAAGAGCTATTCCATGTACAACAAAATGATGTATATAATCTATTTAATAAATATATTGTTAGAAATTTGAGTTTTTGGTTGTTTTTTTATTTATTCTTGAATAGTTAATTATTTTTTTTAAAAGACTGGTTTTCCCCCGCCACATTAATAATAGCACAAAGAACAAAGAAAACATTATTTTATTTAAATACATTTTAGTATTTTTTTAATAGATTTTAGGCTTTAATGTTAGTTTTGTCATTAGGATTAAGATTTTAATTGATTATGTCATGTGTTGTCATACGCTAAAAAAATAATAAGTATTTGTTCTTTGTGTTATTTTTTGCTTCTGACGATGGGAGGATATACCTTTTCAGGATATACCTCCTGAAAAGTTAAGCTCATTTTTTTCGTAACCAAATTTAGTACGCATGATGAATGTACTGATACAAGAAGATCTTTAAAAACACGAAAATAGCATAGAACACATAGGCAATCAGTAATAACATATAGCACAATAAGTAAATCTGTTGGAATACTAGATGCAGCAATAATTTCAGAATATAACAAAGAAGTTCAGTATTCGAAAGAAGTATTGAAAATAATTTTGGCCGTTATGTAGTTTTTGGCTTCTCAAGGGCTCACTTTTCGCGGTGAAACAAAACAGTTGGTTCTTCAAGTAATGGAAATTATTTAAGATGATTGGAAATGTTAAGTCAGTTTGATCCTTTCATTGCAGAGCATTTACAGAAATATGCGAATCTAGAAAAAGGTTATACCTCTAACCTTTCTACAAATATTTGCAACGAACTTATTAACATTATAGGGGAAAAAGTGTTAAATAACTAAAAGTTAAAATAAAATTTAGCTCAACTGCAGGATGTTAATGGACTCTACACCCGAATTTATCACACGTAGATCAAATGACATTTCTAATTCGGTATGTAAGAAAGGGAAATATCATTGAAAGATTTTTGATGTTCATACTCATAGAGAATCACAATGGAGAATATTTAGCACATGGAGTCCTTGCATTCCTAGAAATGCATAATATAGACATAAAAAGTTGTAGGGGTCAGTCAAACCAGCTATAAAGTCTTCATCGCTGCTGCTAGGCATCGCCCTTCAAACTGGAGTTTGGTTTTGTGTTCCGCTCATATATTCGATTACATAATGTCATAGAATTTGTTGAACATTGTTTGAATTTGAAGAAAAATTATGATAATGATTGAAATGGCATATTCTGGACTTTTACTTGTTTGTGTCTAGATATATATCTTTTTGAGTTCTGCATTATTAATTATGGTATAATAAATAACACAAATCAGATTTAATATCGGGTAGGTGTAGTATTAGCTACCTACAACAAAAAATTTTACTTAATATTATAACTATCTACAATAATATATCAGAGAATTTAGAAAAAAAAAATGTTTTGTATTGCACGTTTACATTATGAACTTTTCATTGGGATAATTATGCTTCCGATCTACTATTTGTTGTAGATATTGTACTTTTTATATACAAAGAAGCCAAAGCAAGAGTAATGATATATAAAACAACTCCAGAGATCCCAACTGGCAAAGGAATACGACAGAGAGACGCGATATCCCCAAAGCTGTTTACAGCAACATTAGGAGAAATCTTCCGTTAACTAGGCTGGACCAACAAACGATTAAAAATAGATGGAAAATATCTTAACCATCTAAGATTCGCTGATGGCATAGTCCTAATAGCCACTAGTCCTGAAGAACTATAACATAAATTAACGAACTAAATACAGCTAGCAATTAAATAGGTCTCAAAATGAATTTAACAAAAACTAAAGTAATGTATAACGAACTAGTAGATGGAAAAGACATTCTAATAAATGACACAAAACTGGAAATAGGAAAACATATATTTGGGATAACTAATACTGTATTTTTATGTAAACTATGTAAATTGAAAAAACAAAATGAAAAAATTCAAACGATTTACGAGTCTTTAGTTTTGCTGGTTACAATTAATATAAATTACGAATGTCCAATTAACATGAGTGTTCCGGTGAATCCAGTGCCATTGACATCTACAGTAATAAAAAATGATATATTTTAATCAAATATTCAATAAAATTATTAAATTATTTATATAGTTAATTAACATAGGTCTTTTCAAACTAAATTAAAATAGGCTTTAAAAGAGTAAGTTATAAAGAAACTGGCTTTTTCATCACACTGCTGCCCGACTCTTTCAAAACATATCCACTCAAGAAACATAATCTCGAAAATTAATATTAAGTTAAAGGTTTGCTGACAACAGATATATGTTACTATAAAGCCTAAATAATTTATAAAGTTACAGTATCATATAACTATTAGATTTGTATAAAGAAAAGTTAAAAATAAACAAATAAAATGAAATCGAAAATTTACTTTTTGGCGACAAGATATTCAAAACATCGTATCGGTGCTGTTCATTTCTAGTAAACTGTCAAATGTTTATGGGTGACACTGGCTAGTGTTACTATCGTAAAATATTAAGACCTACACGATACATTCAAAAACTACCGTGGAAATGATAACAGCTCTTTCATGCCACTTCTCCCCTACCATATTTTTTTTATAAAAATGGAAGAAAACACTATTAATAGACAATGTGAAGTCAACGAATCCCTTAATGACGAAGAAGAATGTACCGATGAACCAATTTAATTGTGATAAAATGGTTCAAGTCCAAAAAAGTATAAACATTTAACAACATTCTTAAAAAAGACCATAATTGTATTTTGAGTTACTTTAGTTTGCAATAATACATTTTAAAGTATAATAAAGCATTGTGTCAAGTTTTCTTCTCCAGCTTGTTTTATTTTAATTAAGTAACATTAAAAAACTTTAATTCTCATTTTCTCCATAATTATCTTCTAGGACTTGATCCAGTTTACTTCTGAACCCCTCAATATGCATTAATCTGATCACAATATTCCCCCAAATATTTTGTCATTGAATTATTGATCAACCAATTTGCTTACATTTCAAGAGCAATTAACATGCAGAAAAGTCAAATAATAGGGTTGGAAAAGCATGAACAAAGAAACACTTGTAATGCCAAAATCCCATAAATCGTCTCCAAGATTACTACTTCACCAATATCAATTAATCAATAACATACCTTAATTTCACTAGCCTCTAAATGTGCCACACAGTCTAAATTACATCCTCCTATAATCACCTGAAAGAGATAAAAAAAACTAGCTCAATTAAATGTAACACATATATATTGAAAAAAAATTCACAGTCCTTTACAAAGATGCAACCGGGGGGGCATTGAAAATGATGAATAAAAACGTAAAAATATGATTAGTATTAATATGAGTGTATTACATACATATGTTTAAATAACGAACTTAACAAAAAACAACAGATTTAAAGATTCACTGAAAAAGTAGTAATGTTAACATTAAACCAGGTCTCTTTGAGAAGAATGGACGCCTGCTTTAAACTAGTATAAATTGAAAAGGGGTGGGCCCAGTATCGATCCTTGTAGTATCCGTCAATTACACACAATCTATCTGGATTGGGGAGCAAATGCGCCAGTCCTGAGAACTATTCATATACTCGTCGCAGAATACTGCTGTCCTGTGTAGGGCAATAGTGCTCACACGAATATTATTGATATCCAGTTGAAAGAAAATAAGAGGACTATATCAGGCACTGTGAAGTCCATACTGGCTGCTTGTTCTGTCAGATATTGAGCCACCGGAATCGGGGCCAAGCAGCACTGAAAAAAGAGTGGGAAAAACGTTCTGCAAACCCTGATTTACCATTGCACCAGATATTGCTACCAGGTATTTTGAGTATTTTTTTATTTTTAGCTGAAATACGTATCACTGCTTTTATATCTGAACAATCTTCTATCATTTACTGTGATGGATTACCTTTCAAGCTTGTATGGAAAATATTTTCCAGATTCGAAGATTGCACAGGGTATGGCATATGGCACTAGGGTAAGGTACTAGAGTAAGGTATGACACTATGGCAGTTACAAAACTAGTATTAGGTGATGAAATTTTCAAAAATATATGTGAAGATTTAAGAAAAACAAAGTTTTCCCTTATAATTGAAGAGTCCACAGATAGAACAACATAAAAACATTTATGCCTTGTTGCACGATATGCAAATAGTAACATTATAAGAGATCACTCTTTTTCATTACTTCCATTAGTCAATTATTCTTCCAATGCAAACACACTTTTGTAGTAACCCTACTTTTTAATATACCTTTTATAATTTATTACATTTATATCTTTAACTTATATACAATAATTATTTTCAACATCAAACTTAAACACTTTATCATGTTTATTTTATTTAATTTGGTCCAAAATCTATATTCATTTTATCTTCGTTATAGTATGGTACTTAATTATGTAAAACTTTTTTTTTGAGATTTCATATCACTTTCACCTCATGAAATCTCTCATTAAGGGGGGAGGTGTTGTGAACATACCTTTAATATGGTTGGTAATATGTATATGTATATTCTACAAATTGTATAAAGTATTAAGTTTACCCTTATACTACGGCTATGCCTAAAGAGTTTAAGATACGAAAAATACCATTAACATTATTATTCTTCTCAAAAAGATGGGTGACGCAAATAAACAGAACCTTTGCCTTAAGATAAAATAGCCATAATTAGGCGCGTCATTTTTAGTTTTCCTTTGTAATTCATTTACTTTCAGACGAGATGTCTGGTTTCTATTTACTTAAAAAATGGTCATGTTTGTCCCTTTGCAAACCTACCATAAAATATTATTAAGAAATAGTAGGTACGCCCGTGGATTTTCGGAGAGGGTATTCTCATAAAAGCACGGTCGCAGAAGGGACCAGAACACACTTTTAAAAAAGACACACTTCAAGGTCATTCATAAAAATTCTTTTATAGACCTAAGATTGCTGAATTTTTGTTAGTTAAAATTTATATTTTGTATTAAAAATTTAAAATTAAAAAAGTAATAACCAATTAGTAAGAGTTTAATTATAAAAAAAAAATAATAACATTCCCAACACAAGTGGTGATACGAGTCAAATCACAACAAGGTGATTCAAGAGAAAACTACAACATTTGGCGGCAGCGACTACAAGATTGGTGACAAGGGTGGTCCAACCCAGGATCACAACACTTTATAAACAAATTGTTGATATATTTACATTGCATAAAATTCAATATAAGAATAATCTTATTGGTTTTGCATCAGATGGTGCTCATGTGATGATGGGAGCACATCATTCTGTTATGGCTCTGTTAAAAAATGAGTGCATTATGCCACTCTTTCCATTTATGCGCTTCATTCATCAAAAACTACCAAAATATATTGATAACTTAGTAAGAGATATACATAATTATTCTACCTCTAGCCCAAAGAGAACTACACAATTTGTAGACTTTTAAAAATGTTATGCTGTAAAAACGTTTGCATCCATCACAGACAAAGTGGTTGTCCATGCATAGTGCCGTTAACAGAGTTTTAGAGCAGTTTGAACCCTTAAAACTTTTTTTTTATTAATGCAGTGGCCAGTAATGATGTTTTAGTTGCTGAAAATATCTTAGAAAAACTGCAAGACCTGGAAACCAGGTTATTTTTGACTTTTTTCAGCCATGTTTTAATAGACTCGGTATAACTCTAATAACCGAGGACTTGCGAATGTAAAGAATGTAAAGACTCCAAGCATAACGATAGTGCTCTTTTGCCAAACCATGAATGGAAAAAATGAACAGATAGAGACAGATAGAGTTAAGAGGAAAATAACAGTGCCTAGATTCAAAGCTGTCAAATATGGCGAAGTACTCATAAATGAAAAAATACTCGAGAAGATGGCAATAACTGAACAAAAAAAGAAAGAGAAAGAACCGAAGAAATTAAGTAAAGTTCAAAAACCAAAAAAGGAGCAAGCTAAAGAACGAGGCAAGGAAAAAAAGAAAAAGACAGTTCACCTGGAAAGCGATTCTGAAAATGAAGATACCGGATCCTTATATTCCGAAAGAGAATCGGACGACTCTGATTTTCATCAGTCGTGTATACAGGAAAATGCAAAATAAGTTGAGGAACCAAACTGGACAAAGCTGAAACCAGGAATGTTTTTGCTAGTGGATTTCTTGGAGGTTCAAAAAAAAACAAATAGTTTTAAAAATGTTGCTTGCATTGAAAAAACTGACTAGGAAGATGGAGAAATTTTAGTAAATTGTTTTAGAAGGAATTTTTTACTTATTCCACCACGTTCACTACACTAGATGTAGAAGAAAAAGAAGAAGAAATTATTTTGCTTTTATGTAGTCGACCGAAACTCTTTCATTGGTTTACATTGGTTTATAGAGTGTGATAGAATGGTGGTTTGAAGTTATATTTTATATTTGTTCTTGAGTTAGTGTTCAAAATAAGTAGCACAGAGTCAAATTCAGATACAAATTTTGCCAAAAGTGGTCCCTCCGCCCCAAAAAAGCCAAAGTGGCGGAAACAAAAATTCAATCAAGATTGGCTCCAAATGGAACAATTTAAAGGTTGGTTGACAGAAGTACCAGAAAATCCATATTCCTATAGTCCTATAGCTTGTGACTGCCAACTAACATGTGGTAAGTCGGAGCTCCAGAAGCATTTTATAGGAAAGAAGCACTTAAAAAAGTAAAATTAATTTCAAGTAACACAAACGTGCATTCATCCTTTAAACCTATAATGACTAGAAACGAAGATAGACAAGTTCAGGACTTTGAAATAGTGATGGGCAAAACTGTAATTTTTAGATAACAGTTGAAACTGTTATAGTTATTTATAAAAAACAACTTAAAATAACAGCTTAAAAATAACAGGTTTCTTTATTTTACTGCTAAATATCTGAAAGAGTATGAAGCGGTCGCCGCCAGGCGTATTAACGCAGTTGCAAGTTGCTACAATGACATGCTCGGTGGTAGTATTTCCAGGGTGTCTAAAAATTTCTAAATATCGATTGTTATCTAAAATACCTCTCTAAAAACGGTCGTTGTTTACAAATAAGCGCTGTTTACAAATTGCGATATAAAAAAGCCAAAATTCCGCCACTCGTCTATACGTATACATTCCGATCTACCTACGCCTTGCCCCTCGATCGGCGTAGATCCTGAATTGCGTAGCAGTGTACAGGGTGCATCTCACTCGACGGGCAAGAAGCTCTTAGTTATAATTTTACCATTTGTGGTCAAAAAATAGCAATATAAGAAAATGTGTAGTATATTCTTCATAAGTAAACCAACTATACACTAGAGTTCGAATTAATTTTACACTTAAACTAGCGTGTACCCGCGACTTCGTTCGCGTCGAATTAATAATTTGTAATGGTGATGATAAAGCAAAGCAAGAATTTCTATTGACATACAAACTGGATAAAATTTTCTCACATTTGCCAAAAATAAGCTTTAAACGTCGAGCAGTTTAAGCAGAATCGTGGTTAATCAATTACTCAACTTTTTGGAACACCCTGTATTATTTTTTAAAAAATTTCAAAATATGTAAAAAAACAAAATAAATTATGCGTGTCCAAGCGTTTTCCCGAAAGACTAACCGTTTTTTAAATAACAAATATTGTAATATTTGAGGGGCGTTTTCACCCTCTTGGAATTTAAGATTCGAGAAACCCCTCCTTATCGAACCTCAACCCCACAGTCAATCCGTTTGCCAAAAATCAGCTTTAAACGTCAAGCAGTTTAAGCAGAATCGTGATTACTCAATGGTCACATTTTATGAAACACCCTGTATATATTTTTAAAAAATCTTAAAATATGTAAAACAACGAAATAAAATATACGTGTTTAAGAGTTTTTCCGGAAAACTCACCGGTTTTTAAATAAAAAATATTCTAATATTTGAGGGTGGTTTCACCCCCTTTGAATTCGAGTTTCGAAAAATCCCTTCTTATCGAACCTCTACACCCTAAAGTCAATCCGTTTTCCAAAAATCAGCTTTTTACGTCAAGGGCTTTAAGCAGGATCGTGATTAATCAATGACCAGATTTTTCAAAACACCCTGTATACATTTTTAAAAAATCTTAAAATATTATTCTGAAAATTTTTCAGAATAAATAAATACCTAAATATTGAAACTTAATAACGTACTGAAACATACAGCGCCATAATATCTCGACCTCCGCCCGTTATGCTCGTAACAGGTTGAAAAACAATATATCTAAAACAACTGATGC